AGCACGTCCGACCCAATAGCGGCTGTTGTTAAGATCTTATCCCATGTCACGCCCTCTTGTAGCTATCTTGGGCCCTCCCTGGAGAACCTTGCGAGCCTCCCCGTTGCTCCCGGAGGTTTTCCCCGAGGGCCTCCCGAGCCCTTCCCTGGGCGCTCCTGAGACGGAAAGGGGTGTGGCATAAAAGGGGTATGGTGCCAATAGTGGAAAGGGCGGTGCTATCTGCGATGAATAACATCGCCAGAGTCCTCTTCACATGGAATTAACACCACACCCCTTAACACCATATCCCTTTCCTACCTCCAGATTAACGCACATCCCCGAGAGACTTCAAAACTGCCCCCAGTTGGAGGGGGGCGAGCGAGCCGTGCGCCAGGGCCAAAGTTGCTGGAGCGCTGCCAGAGCATAGACACGAAGGCGCGGTCTCGCTGCCGCCGCCCCGGCCGCCGCCGTGGTTTCAGGTTTCTGGAGGATCTCCTCCGTTCCTCCGAGAGCCATTCCAGAAAGATGTCGTGGACGGAGTCCACGGATCAGCCCTAATTCGTCAGCTACAACGCTGGGGTCAGCGCGTGCGAGAAGGGCGGACACTGGCAGCATGCGCTGTGGCTGTTCGGCGAGATACACGCAGCGAGGCTGGAGCCAGACGTGGCCTACTCTCCGCTACTAGGCCGAGTGCTCTCTGGACGCGCTGCCGGAGGAGGACGGGGAGGAGGAGGAGGAGGAAGAGGAGGAGGAGGAGGAGGAGGAGGAGGGAGGAGGACGAGGAGGAGGAGGGGAGGAGGAGGAGGAGGGAGGAGGAGGAGGAGGAGGAGGAGGAGTAGGAGGAGGAGGAGGAGGAGGAGGGAGGAGGAGGAGGAGGAGGAGGAGGAGGAGGAGGAGGAGGAGGAGGAGGAGCAGGAGGAGCAGGAGGAGGAGGAGGAAGAGGACCACCTCGCTTCGGCACTGGGAGAAGGGGCCACGCTGAGTGGCCATGGGCGATCTGTCTTCGCCCGCACGCGGGCCCGGAGGCCGCGGTGCTCAGCCTGCGGGGCGCCCTCGGGGCCTCGATGGGGCCAGTCCGTCCTCGAGCCACGGCCGGGGCCCGTGGCGTATGAAGACCGGCCCCCCCCCAGCCCGCTCCCGGCCCCAAGGGCCCGAGCCTCAGGGCTCGAGCCTGGGCCCCCGAGAGTGGCCTGCGAGCCCCCCGGCCCCAGCCTCCTCGGCCTATGTCCGCCTCCCCCGGGGGCCCTCGCCGACTCCGCCTCCTCCCGTCCTCCTTCTCGGGCCGAGCGACAAGGGGGGGCATTGGGAAAGGGGGGGCCACGAAATCTGCTGCATGCAGCTGGTCTCGGCCCCACCGATGGGGCCCATTCCTCGACACGTAGCCCCCTCCGGCGCCGGGAGGCGCCGGGAAAATCAGCTACGTGAGCTGATTCTCAAACCCCCCCTTTGCTACCCCCCCCTTTCGCCCGACCCGACTTTCCTATCAAATAACCCGTCCCTGTCGCACCCCCAGGCGTGTGGGTAGGGCGGGCTGGGCGGTGCGCCTGAGATTGCTTCTGACCCTGAAGCATAAAATTTGGAACCGCTTCACGGATGGAGGGCGGGCCGTTTGCAAGCTGTGGCCCTCCATGTAGCGCCGTGCACATTCCCTGCAATTTCTGCAACAGTTTCACGGAGGGAGGGCGGGTCGCTTTCAGATGTGGTTCTCGCCAAAGCGCCGCGCAAATTCGTCTTAAAAGTTCAGTCTGCAGCAGTTTTACGGATGAAGAGCGCTTTTCCCTCAAATTTGGCTCTCGCGTTAGCGCCTGGCTGCAAGTCGGTAGCAGTTTCAGAGATTCGCATGGCCGAATTGCCAGGAATGGCGTTCTGGCAAGATCAAGGATAGTCAGAACGTAGCGGTTGTGTTAATTCGCGGTGTTGAAGTCCCAGAAATGGTGTTCTGGCTTGGCTTCGGCCTGTCAGGACGCAACAGTCACGTCGACTCGCGAGCGACGCTGAAGTCCAAGGAATTGCTATTTGGCACGGTTGGGGATTCTCAGACGTTTGTTTTCCAATGGGATATGTATTCCCCGAAACTAACACAACATATTGCAGGGCCCAGTGAAGAGGGAGTTTGGAGGGAGGGTTGGTTGCAGCATCGCTGGCGCGTCTTAGGCTTACACCGGCTCTCCTCATGATCCTCCCTCATCCGGTCCCCGTCCGCGTCTTCCTTCTCATCCGCATCCGCTTCCGCCTCATCTCCCTCTACCTTCCCCTTTCTCGTCTTCACCCTCGATTGCGCTCGGCGTCTGGCCGGTGACGTATCCAGACACCGGCCACCCCCAATCAGCTATGGCACTGGCATCAGCGCGTGCGGAAGAGGCGGGCAGTGGCAGCAGGCGCTCTTTCTGCTCAGCGATTTATGTGCGAAGGGGTTGGAGCGCCAGGTCATCACATGCAGCGCCGGAGTCAGTGCCTGTGAGAAACAGGGGCAGTGGCAGCATGCGATATCGCTGCTTTGCGAGATTGTCGAGGCAAAGTTCCAACTCGACGTTATCGCATATAGCGCTGGCATCAGCGCGTGCGAGAAAGGTGTCCAGTGGCAAATGGCGCTGTCGTTGCTCAATGAGCTACAGATGAAGAAGATACAGCCCAACGTCGTCAGCTTTAGCGCTGGAATCAGCGCGTGCGAGAAATGTGGGCAATGGCAGCGGGCTTTGCTTCTGTTCGACCGGTTGCGGGCAGTGACGTTGGAGCCTGACGTTATCTGTTATAACGCTGGACTTGCCGCGTGCGGGGAGGGCGGGCGTTGGGAGCAGTCACTCTCATTGCTGAGTGATTTGCAGGCGGCGAAGCTTGAGCCAGATGCCATCTCATACAACGCCGCAGTCCGTGCTTGCGAGAAAGGCGGACGGTGGCAGAAGGCTTTTTCGTTGTGGAGCGAGTTGTGGGTCTCAGCGTTGGAGCTGAGCGTCATCAGTTACAACGCTAGAATCATATCGTTGGAAAAGCAGGGCCAGTGGCAGCATGCTCTGTGCTTGCTCACCGAGCTATGGGAGTCGAAGTTGGAACTCGACGTTATCAGCTACACGATGGAAATCAGCACGTGCCAGAAAGGCGGGCAGTGGCAACAAGCGCTTGCCTTGCTCAGAAGGTTGCCGGACTTGAAGTTGGAGCCAGACGCCGTTCTATTTCTGTTGCGGCTAGCTTTGTCTGGCTATCGCCTCGAGATGTGTATGTATGTGTGTATATATATATATATATGTGTATATATGTATTCTCTTACGCACCTCTCCGAGGGAGTAGAGCTCAGAGGCGATTAATGCGCACGTCGTCCGCGATTGTTCTGGCCGTTTCGCTCGGGACATCCTCGAAATTCTGAAAATCGGTGGCACCCCTCACGCAGATCGTGACGTTAGGGTCCAAAAACACATGGGAATTTCAACCTGTTAACATAAAACCTTCAAAAACACATGGTAATCTCAGTAATTTTGACCCCGATTCTCAGAGAATGGCGGTTTCGCCTGAGACATCCTCCCAAAATCGAGCCCCAGACCCCTCCTCGGAGCCTCCTGGGGGCCTCCTGGAACCTCCTGGGGCCTCCTGGGGCTTTCTGGACCTTCTGGTACCCCAGACCCCGCCTCGGAGCCTCCTGGAGTTCTCCTGGGCCTGCTGAGGCCGCCTGGGGCCTCCTGGGGCCTCCTGGGGCTTCAGAACTACATGCACACACAGAGACACAAATCACGCCCAACACATCACACGCTAGACAAACATAACATACACACACACAACACCGACAACACACAAAAAGCACGCACCACACAAAGCACACATCACACACACACACAACACTCACAATCCTGGGGCCTCCTGGAGCCTCTTCTGGTATCCAAGTCGGGCCTCCTGAGGCTTCCTGGGGGGCCCTGGTACACACATCGCAAGGTGTGGCAACCCCACTTGCGCTCGAGTGCGACTTCGCTGTTGCATGTCACTCCTGCTTCAAACGCCCCTTCAGCTTGTTGTATGAGCCTGGGCACACACGTGCCACTTGTATATATATATATATATATATATGTATGCGTGGTGCTCTTATTCTGCCACGCTGGGTCCCCCTGCGGTGACGGCTAGACTGCCACGAGGCCTTCTTCTCTTGCCCCACCACGGTGGAGGCAAAGACCTGGATGTCCTGTCCACTGCCTCCTGAGGTCCTGGGAGATCGCTTCCCAAAATAGTCGACGTGGCTGAGTCTTGGGCATGGAGATCCAGGCCTCCCAAATAGAGCCAGAGTAGGGTTGGAGGATCGCGCTGCATCGTCGATTCATCGGCGATGCGGCGAGATTTAGAGTTCTATGTTATGCTCCCCCACGTGGCCGGTGCATCGGCGGCGCATCCGCGATACAGTGCGATCTTCCGCCCCATCGTCTTCAGCCCCATGCAGGAGGACTCCAATGGTGCGGGCCTGGGCCACGGAAAGGGCCTAGCTGCAGCTTGGGGTCTCCCAGCCGATGCCCCCTGGCAGGGTGCACCCCTTGTGATTCTCACTCGCCGTTGGGCATCCGATCATACAGAATTCGGCTCGGGGATGTTTCCCCTGAGATGGTCGTGATCTCATCCTCCCCCGCTGAGGGGGAGAATGGAAGCGAGGACAGAGTTAGTTGTTTTGCCGCGCGGCTCTCATGCGCTGGGGGCCCAGCAGGCTCGAGGTCCTTGATGTACTTAGGGTTCTGCCAGTCTTCGCCAGTACCTCGAGAACCCGTGGCCGACTCAGCCCCAAGAGGGCCCCAAAACGGCCTAAGGCGGCCTCAGACAGCAACAGTAAGCGGCAGCAGCAGAACGCATGAAACAAGACCAGCGGCAGCACACAGCAATCAGCACCAGCATGCAGCAGACATCGGCACCCTGCAGCTGCAGCCAGCAACAGCAGAGGCAAAGTTCAAGCCCAATATTATCAACCTGCCTTCTCGTAACACATCGTGTCTTGTAGGCCACGCGACAGCTCTGGTCAGCTACAGCGCTATGATCAGCGCGTGCGAGAGAGGCGGGAAGTGGCAGCATGCAGTCTTGTTGTTGACTGAAATGCGGAACGTCAAATTGGAGCTGGATGTTATCAGCTATACCGCTGCTATTAGTGCTTGCGAAGGAGGTGGATTTTGGCAGTGGACCAGTTCTGTGCCATACCATTCTGGGTGCCAGACATCTGGCGATACTCCCGAGAAGGCGAATCTTCCTGCGATGTGACCATCAAGAAGTGTAGACGGACACAGCCATGGAGCGCAGCGCTGCATTTGCTCCGCGAGGGCATTCAGTCAGGCTTGAAACTCTCGCCGGCGAAACCTTCGCCACTTTCGTGTCCTTGGGAGCCCAGCGGAACGACCTCGCAAGCATGACACGACGAGTTCTCCCCCTCCGCTGGGTGCCACCAGCTGCGCAGCCGTCGCCACTTTCGCGAGCTCGTGAGAGGCCCAGCGGAGTGACGTCATGCGAAGACCCGAGCGGGGCCTCGCCCTCAGCGTGCACTGCCGGCTGCGCAACTGTCGTCACTCTCGCGGGCTCCTGTCCCAAACAACCGGCCAGTTGGTGGGAGAATCCGCTGCACATGCCAGTTGGATGTTCGCAGGTGGAGAAGAGGCAGCGTCTGCGACGAAGAGATGCTGGGCGGCTGGAGAGAAGCCGCCTCCCAAGGCGCCATCTGCGGCCGAGTCCGCCGAGGGCGTTCTTGACAGGTCTGCGGATGCATCTGAGCGGAGCGCTCCGCGGGGCTCCCTCGCAGTTGCGAAGCGATCGCTGGGACACGAAGCTGCGCCCCGCCGATGGGATCCCGAGGAACCTCGCAGGCATGAGGGCGGAGTGCGCCATCGGAGTGGCTTCACACGGGCACGCCGAATCCGCCACAAAATATCTACATGCACAGACGCCCTCCAATGTGTTGTCCCTGGACTTTGGGGAAGGGTGGCGGTGTGCTCATCACCACTGAGAGCCAACGACTCCCTGTTCCGGAGGAGGGTGTCCGTGTATGCATTGTCGTGGCGCAGAGCAGGACCTCGCCCTTCCTGGGCGCCGCGAGCCGCGCGACCGTCGCCGCACTCGCGGGCTCATTGGGAGCTCCAGCGACTCGCGCTCGGGGCACCGCGCAGCGGTGCGGCGGCGGTGCGGTGCCCTGGCCGCTCAGAGAAGCGCTCCTTTGGGGGCAGCAAAGGGGCGAGAAGGCCATCACCGACTTCCTCGACGCGTTCGAGCGATGGGCATCCCAGGGGCGTCCTCGAGAGGCTCCGTGGCCATTTGGAGGAGCCAGGGTCGTCGGGGGAACTCTCGGAGGCATGCTGGAGGTCATCGTGCGCTGCCTTGTGCGATCTCGGGTGCAGTCCTGTAGACCTCGTGGAGCCATATTGGACCCTCTAGCGCCGCCCGACCCCGACCGCCCCTCATACGGAGGCAGAAGGCAGATGGGTCAAGGTCCAAGCGGGGACGCCGCAAGTAGTCTCGCTCACCCCGACCTGGCCTACCACTACATCAGGAGCACCCGAGTCTCGGCAGACGTAGCCAGGGACCGCCATCGACAACCCATCGGGAACCAGGTGCTCGACGCCCGCGAGGTGCGCCGTGCGTGTGCCAGGTGCACGACGCGCACCAGGTTCGCCAGGTGCCCTGTGGGCCAAAGCGTACCTGGCGCGCCTTGGCGTGCCAGATGGCGTGCCAGATGCGTCAAGTGCTTCGCATGCGGCCAGTGTGTCACGTGCTCCGGCCGCGCCGGGTGCTCACGTGCCGTGCGCGTCACGGGCAGAGTGCGCCAGGTGCGCCAGTTCACTTCACAGAACACTCTTGGCAGTATGTGCCCCCCCCCATCCCCGTCCCGATTACGATTCAGATGTTCCCGCAAATTGCATGTCGGATTGCTTTTGGCAGGGGTCCTCAGTGGTGTCGGCTTTGTTCCTGGTCGGTCGCCCGTCGAGGGGGGGTGCAGGTGCTTGAAGCCCGGGGGCAGTGGCAAACTCTTCTCCGATGGGGACGACATGGGGCTGGAATAACAAACTTTCTAAAACTCCTGCGCCCTAAAGGGCTGTTGTAACCACAACACCAAGCAGCTTGGGTGCCAGCAGAGACCGTTAAAACTGAGACGACCTCGTGTTGTGCGGCGTTGCCTCTCTACGAGAAGGGCAAGCAGTAATGTCGTTGCCCGGCAAGATTAATGAAGCGAAGCTGGAGCCCGACGTCCTCAACAGCCACGAGCGGCCTCAGATCATGCGAGCGGGTGGAAGCGCCGTCGCTGGCCATGCAGTGGAAAGCGAGGAAGTGATGTCGGAGATGGAGGTCATCAGCTACCCCGGTGGCCTTGCCGCGTGCGGGAAGGTCAGTGATTATGAGCTGCGTGCGCTGCCCGTGCCAGCTACTGTGAGAAGGCCAGGCAGTGGCCAGAGGCGTGAGCGCAGGTTTCGAACCACGCTCCCGAGGCCCCTGGACAAGTCACCCGCAGAAGCGTTCGGGGCTTCTTGGATTCTGGGTAGTTGGGCCCCAATCCAAGCCGGAGAGCTCGAAGGGACCTGAGCCACTTCATGCGTTGGTGCACGGTGTCGTAGGTCTTACATTATATAGCCAGATATTTCACCGTGCAGCGCAAAAGCCCCGAAATTGCTTTCCCCCGCTATTCCCCGCGATGAGGTGCGCAGCTTTCTACCAAGTCGATGCACCCGCAGTGCGAGTCGGGTTCTCGTGTTTCGTCTAAGCACGCACTTGCTTGTTCCCCCCGCTGCGAAAGCTGGATTCTAAAACGTTCTTTGTCAAGCGCTAGGTGTATTCCACCTAGCTCAGGCGCATTGTGAGTTAACCTTTCCCTGTTCCTCATGCCTCGTGCCCCGAGGGCCTCCTCATCCACCTTGGCCCCCCCTTCCCCCCATTTTCCCTCCCTAGCCTCGTCATCGTCCATGCTTGTCATCGGCCTTAGTTTCATTAACAACCTTCTTCGCTTGCCTTCTCCTGAGCCTTCGCTTGGGCCACAGAAGCATGGTCAGAGCTTCCCAGGCCTTACGCCAAAGCCTTTGCCATGCTTCTGCTCATTGGTGGCGCCCCTGCGCACCTTGGGCGTGCCAGTATTGGCAGGAGGAGGGGGCGAGCGAGCGAAGCTTGCCGGTGAACTCCAGGGCGGGGCTGACAAGGTCAGCGCGGGTGGGCCAGAGCCCTCCAGGATCGCAGTCGAAGTCGGCGCTGGGAGGTTAGGGAGGAGAGAACGTAATGGGGAGTGTTCGTGATCTGGCGCAGGGGGAGGAGGAGGAGGGGGAGGAGGAGGAGGAGGAGGAGGAGGAGGAGGAGGAGGAGGAGGAGAAGGAGGAGGAGGAGGAGGAGGCGGAGGCGGAGGCGGAGGCGGAGGAGGAGGATGGTCGGCGTTTCGTGATGGGGGTGCGATCAGGAAGGGGAGTGAATAGGATGGTTTTCTTCTCGTGCCCGAGAGGGGCCCCCCTAGGCCCGAAGGCCCAAACACGGCACGACCCGTGCAGCTTTCCCCCCCCCCCCCTATCCTCCCCCCCCTATCGATTGATCGCCCCCCACTCAGCAACGCCCATCGCGCGCAGCGCGCGCGCAGCGCGCCGCGCAAAGACGCCCCGAGCGGCCGACGCCGCCGAGGGGGAGCCGGGGCACGCAAGACCCGAGTAAGCCGGAACTCGGGTTCGCCGCCGTTTCTTTGGCGAGCGCGTCCCGGATTTTGGCGGTCCAGTTGTCGTGGGATGTCTGCAGCAGGAGCTCGCGTCACATTTCATATTGGGCCTCGTCATTTTTATGATGGCCCCGTCGGGCCAACCCGAGTCACCCGTACCCGAGTCTTACGTCTCCCCGAAGGGAGCAGGGGCACGAGAGGAGGCGCCGTGGTGTTCTTTCCTTCCCTTCCCTTGCACGGCTTTGCTTGCCCGCCTCCCCCTCTCCAGGGAGCCCGGACGTTGCGAGGCAGCGAGCGAGCGAGCAGGAAGGGCGAGACCATGGAGAGATCATGAGAATCAAACGTTCCCAGATGGCCAAGGTTGCCTGGGTTTCCTAGGTCTCCCAATGTTCCACACGGGCAGGAAACCTAGGCATCGCTCGGATGTGTGCAGTTGGTCCTCAGCGAGGAGCATCTTGGACCCTCCTGCGAAGCAATAAACGCAGAGCATCAAACATGCACGGGGGCTGATCGTCCGAGCGATGGCGAGAAACGAGAGTTGCTGGATACTGGAAATCCTGGATCGCCTCCTGAGCCAGTCTTGCCACGTCATCATTATCGCCCCAGGAGGGGCGAGGAGGCCATTCGTCCGAGGCGCTTCGAGAGCAGCAGCGGGGGAAGGAGCAGGACGGAGGCGCAGGCTGCGAAGGGGCAGCAGGAACAGAAGCAGGAGGGAGAGGGGGACGACGAGAAGGGTGGCAAGGAGGAGGATTGGGGGCGTGGAGGTTGGAGGGGCGAGCGAGGGGGAGGAGGGGGTGGAGGGAGGCATGAGGAGGAGGACCAGGGGGGACGAGGAGGAGGAGGGGGGAGCATCAGGGACGAGGAGGAGGAGGGGGGAGAGGAGGAGGAGGAGGAGGAGGAGGAGGAGGGGGAGGATGGGAGGGGGGGAGGAGAGAGGAGGAGGAGGAGGAGGGAGGAGGGAGGAGGAGGAGGAGGAGGAGGAAGAGAGGAGGAGGAGGAGAAGGGCGAGGTGGTGCAGCCCACTTGCGGCCGACCCCCCCGCGCCCCGTGGAGGACGAGCGCGAGAAACACATGGAGCGAGCCCTGCACTCGGCAGCCCGCGCTCCTCCGACGGGCGGTCAGTCTGGGCCTCCCGCGGGGTCGCAAGGAGCACTCGGTGCCGCGCGCTGCGCGGACCTTGCAGGTTCCTCCTCGACCTCATTGTTCCTCCTCCTCTCCTCCTTTCCTCCTCCTCCTTCCTCCTCCTCCTCCTCCTCCCTCCTCCTCCTCTCCTCCTCCTCCTCCTCCTCCCTCCCTCCTCCTCCTCCTCCTCCTCCTCCTCCTCCTCCTCCTCCTCCTCCTCCTCCTCCTCCATGTCCCCCTCCCCTCCGCGGGACTATCCCTGGCCCGATCGCCCGTTCGACCGCTCAGGCAGCTGTTCGGCGTAGAGGTGGCCGCGCGGCAGGGTGAGGAGGATCCGTTCTTCGGCGACGCGCTGCCGCCTCCTCCTCCTTCTCCTCCTCCGTCTCCTCCTTCTCCTCCTCCGTCTCCCTCCTCCTCCTCCTCCTCCTCCTCCTCCTCCTCCCCTCCTCCTCCCTCCTCCTCCTCCTCCTCCTCCTCCTCCTCCTCCTCGTCCTCCTCCTCCTCCTCCTCCTCCTCCTCCTCCTCCTCCTCCTCCTCCTCCTACCCTCCTCCTTCCCTCTGCCTCCTCCTCCTCCCCCTCCTCGTCCTCCTCCTCCTTCTGCTTGTCCTCCTCCTCTTCCTCCTCCATAAGTTGCTTCCCTTACACATAACTTCTCCCTGTCGCACCCCGAGGCCTGTTTTCAGGGTGGGCCGGGCGTTTCGCTTGAGACGTCCTTACCATTCATGACTCTGACGCTTAAAACTTGGCAACAGCTTCACACATGGAGGGCGGGTGGTTTTCAACATGTGGCTTTTGCCTCAGCGCGGCGCTCATTCGTTTAACAAAATATACACGTTTGACGGATTCACGGCGTTGTGCGCATTCTGTTTAAACACTTGCAACAGTTTCACAGGTTGAAAGCGGGTTGTTTTCAACATGTGACTCTCGCAATGGCGCGGCGCACACGGTGTTTTTTATGTTGCAAGAGTGTCGCGGATTGATGTCGGGTGGTTTTCTCAATGTGGCTCTCCCCTTAGAGCGGCGCACATTCGGTTAACACACACTGCAAGAGTTTCATGGATCGAGGGTGGGTGGTTTTTAAACTGTGGTTCTCCATTCGCCGGGCGCCTATTCTTTTTTTAACATGCGTAAGCATTTCACGGACTGAGGGCGGGTGGTGTTCAAAATGTGGTTATCGCCCCAGCGCGGCGCACACTCGTTTTAAGAATTTGCGAGATGTTCACGGATTCCCATCATCGTGCCAGACCTGGTGTTTTGAAAGGGTTCAGGATTTTGCGGGTGCAATAGTTCTGTTGATTCGCTGTGTAGAAGTCCCAGGAACGGTGCTCTGGCACGTTCCAGGTTTGTCAAGACGCAGCAGTCAGGTTGATCCGTGGCGTTGGAATTCCGAGAACAATGTTTTGGCATGCTTCAGGGTCTTCAAGCGGTTGTCTTCCAAAAGGCAGTGCCTTCAATGGGTAGGAACCGTTGTAGGGGTCTATGACAAGGGAGCTTGGAGGGAGGGTGTATTCCAACATCGTTGGTGACTCTTGGGTTTGCAGTGGTCCTCCTTCCTCCCCCTCCTCCACCTTCTCCTCCTCCTTCCCCCGCCTCCTCCTCTTCCTCCTCCCCCTCTTCCTCCTCCTCCTCCTCCTCCATCTCCTCCTCCTCTTCCTTCTCCTCCTCCTCCTCCTCCTCCTCCTCCTCCTCCTCCTCCTCCTCCCTCCTCCCCTCCGTGTGTCATCCTCGCTGGACCATTGTCTTTTTTTCGATGGCCTCCCGCCCGTCGGCGAGCAGCTTCCGATCTGGGGCGCCCACGAAGACACAGACGCCTGAACTGGCACAAACCGACCGCGGGCGTGCCGTCACGCCCAGGCTGATAGCGGAAGGGCTGGCCGTCCCAGCCCGTCCTGTCAGCTCGGCCGAAATCTAATGGAATCCCTGCCGGGAGTTCAATGTCGGAGGAGGCCAGCTATCAGAGGGGGGGGGGCGAACGGTCATTCATTGTCTCTGGGTGCGTGGCTGAAGTGGGGATATGTGGTGAGGATTATGCTTGTTGCGTTGTTGTTGCTGCTGTTGTTGACGGTGAGGTTGTTGCTGTTGTTGTTGCTGCTGCAGTTGATGTTGCGGTTGCAGTTGTTGTTGGTGTTGTTGTTGATGTTAATGTTGTTGTTGGTGGTGGTGGTGTTGGTGTTGGTGTTGTTGTTGCTGCTGGTGTTGTTGCTTTTGTTGTTGTTGAATATTATTACTTCTAAAGAATCATTATTGTTGGGCCCCCTGGTGCACGCCCCCCTCGCCGCGCCTAGGCCGCAGCCACATTTTCATCATTTTCGTGAGGAAGTCTCAGGCAAAACGGGGGAGTCCGGATCCGGTTGTTTTGTTGACGCCCGCTTTCCCTGTCAAAAAACAATATAAAATGACATGTCTTGTTCTAACATAGCCAAACTTCAAGAATCCTTTGCAAAAAATGACACGAAGTGCACACTCGCGCGCGCAAGATGAAATCCTTCCAAAACCTTAGTTTTCGTAGCGATTTTAACATAAAAACATGAAAAACCCAATGGTTTTTCAAAAAAAAAGTTTCAAAAATTCATCCCGCGCGCTCTTGCGGATTTCTTAGGAAACCCAATACTTTTTCAACATTTCTGTCAAACGGGCTCTTGCGAGCAACTTTTTCACGTGCTTCGAACTTCTGCAACAACGGTTGCGCGCCTGCCAGGGCCATCATCCCTGTCAAATAATACCATATGGGACACATTCGTTTTTTCTTCGCGCGCGCACGCCGAAATCTTC